GTATAGTCCAGATGACTTCACTGGAAGCTCAATTTAATCAGTTAAGCAATGCAGAATCAGATCAGAAAGAAAATGATTTTCCTTTCAATGCCTCTAACCACTACTTTCTCCAGGTTGTCAGTCAGAGTAAAACATTTGATTCTTTGTTTCCTTCTCATGCCTCTAACTACTACTTCCTCCAGCGCAATAACATTAAAGCTCATAAACAATGAAAAATAGTATTGAGTTTCACCACATAAGGAAGTAGATCAAATATAATAAGAAAGCATCCTCCAGTGCCAACTAATCCTACAGTCATTGCATTTCTACCACATATCTAGCCGAGGTTCCCCATATCTGACAGGGAACCCCAGTAAACTGAAGGAGACAACTAAAGGTATAAAATTTCCTTTGGAACTTTAAAGGCACATGCCAAGAATTTATAGCCTGGCTGAAGTCTGAACCAAATGTAAATTAACATAAGTTTGACATAGTGCTAAGAAAGAGGAAGCCAGTAGCCTAAAGGCATAAAAGTAAGGATTAATTTTCATCTGGAAAGCATCATCCCCAAAAGAATTACTCCTATAAAAAAATAGAACTGTCCAATCTTCTGAGAGCAATCCATAAAAATATCATCCAGTCTGCATTAAATAAACCCAGGAGGGAACAGAATTTTCCTAAAAGGATGCAAGTGAAAAACAAAAATTCAAAATCTTATAGTACAAAAGGGCAGTATCAAAACTCCCAAACCCTCTCAAGGTTACACGACACCGAAGGAATGGATAATGAACAAAATCACTAATGATCAGCTAAACAAGATGAAATTATGACACCAGTAGCTTCGAAGCTTGAATAAAAAAGCTATTTCTTATTACCCAACCCTGTCAAGAACCAAAAAAGACCACCTCTCAAGAAAAACAAAGCGAAAACAAATCATGAAATAGATTCATGGCTTAAAATCCACCTATTTGCTTCCAGTTCCAACTTGCAAAACCAAGAAGTCCACAAAAGTCGAGCAACACAACCAAGACAACAAGTAACTAAAATGAATCTCTCAATCACAAAATAAAAAGAAACAGAATCCACCTGAAATTTCCCATTTATTTATAATTAAAAGATCAGTCATATGAGCAACCCAGTTCAGATTGACATCTCTCATTTATGAACAGACACCATCATATAATTGGCTACAAGAACAATAATCCAACAACATTCTATTAATATAATTAATTCCCATTTAAAAGAAAATTATATGAGAAAAAATAGAGTACTAACCTCTAAGAATTTAGCTTCTTGCTCTAGCCGTTTGAGCTCAGCTTGTATCCTGTGCTTGCCTCTGGTATCTGCTAGTCCCAGAGACTGAAGCCGGAGGGTAATCGGACCCCCTTGGGACTCTGTCTGCCCCGATTGCATCACTTATCAAACAATACAAAACAACTAATAAGGGTCACCCAGAAATCCCTAAAGGCCAAAGCTTTATTATTCGACAACCAAAGAACAAAACCAAAAAGTGACCAAAGCCAACGCTTCTGTATCAAGAAGACATTAGAGAGACCAAAAATGATGACCCAGAAATCCCTCAAAGGACAATTTTTTATTATCAACAAGAACCAAAGAACAATTTACCAAAAAAAAGAAATAAAAAGAAAACCAAAGAACAAATAGAAGAAGTGAGAAAAGGCCAAAGCAAGCTTCTGTATCAAGAAGAAGACACCATTGAATACGTAACTAAGGATGACCCAGAAATCTCCATGGACCCCAGCCAAGAAACAAGCAACCTCTATTTAAACAAAACAAGTACCCTTTTTCAAAAGGAACGACTTCTGCTATGTGCAGCAATGAAAACTTAAAAGCAGAAGAAAGAGTACAGGATTAGACTTGGTTTTGGTTTTCTCATTCCGGATCATTGAGGGAAAGGAAAAAAAAAAAGATGAGAAAAAGACATAGAAAAAGGAAGCATTTGAATGAATTTTCAAAAGGGAAAAATATTTCCTTTTATCGTTGTAGTGTTGTGGAAACAGGGTTGGATGAAAGCTGGTGCTCTTTTGTTTCTCTCATTTTCTGTCTCTGTTTTTTTTTTTTTTTTTTTTCTTCGTTTTGGAAATTCCAAATGCTTTTGAGCACGCGATGTTTCTTCTTTCCACAATGAGCGTGGGGACGCGGGAGCCACTGTGGCTAGCTTCATGTTTTGGTGTTTCCTCACAATTGGAAGTGTAATTATTAAAAAATAAAAATAAAATTTATTGTGCATTTCTGATTCCCCCGAATTGCACATTGGATGAAAACAAACCCTTGTCTTTTTCTTCAACAAATTTTATTTCATAACTTAATATAATTTAAATT